AATTAATTCCAGTAGAGACTCCAGCCTGCATCAGCAGTTTTTAAGTTGCTGTGTGAGACATGTGGTGCCATTTGAAAAAAGAAAAAAATACTTTCAATATTAATTACAAGACATTGTTGTAAAATTTATGTCAATTATCTGTCACTTTATTATGGAGAGGCAACAGCCTCTTTGTAGTAAAGGTGGCAGCAGCTTGTTCATTACAATTAGAAATGTTGCCATTCAGTTGAATTCCCTAGAAAAAAGACTTCGGGATTATGAATAACTTGTGCAAATTGATGGGGGAGAAATGGGAAGATTTGTACTAATTGATGAGGAGGAAATGGGAAGATTAGTACTCATCTTGGATTAAATAAGTCATTTTGAGGACCCAAGTGTAAGATGCACATCAGACTCTTCCCAGAGAAGGAAAACCCAAATGCCTTCTTTTTATCCTGCCTCCTTTTGCTGGGCTGAGAAGACAAAACTGCTGTGTTTGCTCATAGTATTTTGGCCTTTGCCCAGGGTCTGGAAATGGGACTGCCTTGGTCCCCTGTGTGATACACAGGCTGTGGCAGGACTTCCACCACCTTTGTAGAGAGAGCAGGAAAAATATTTTTTGTCTCCCACCTCCCGCCCCTGTTCTGTGTCCCTGCAAACCCGCAGTGAATGATCATCATTACCAACCTCTTGGGTCACAGACCGAGGGTGACGTTTACGCTGTTGGCAAAGGCTCCCTGGTGCCAGGGGCTGCACCCTCTGCTTTGGTCCAGCCCATGACCCGCTGTGCCAGATTCTGCTGATCAGGATTGAACTATGATGTTCTGACCAGCTCTCTGGTCAGCTGGTCCCCAAAAACCTACCACTCTGTCCTTCAGGATGGAGGAACCTGGTCTGGAGAGTTTCCCTGTGTCCCTTCCTGGTAATCCCCAAGACTCTGTGCTTGGGTTTGGTATGGGCACTTCAGGTTGGTGGGATTTGCTCTTTTTCCTTTCTGCTTAGTGCAAGATCACAGAACAGGTTCTGTTCCAGCTGCTTTGGCGCTAGCACAGCTAATGACTGTCTTTTGGGCACAGAGGAGTACTGGTGAGATACTGACATTGCTGGCTGCCTGCATTCCTGTCCTTTCCTGCACTGATTAGAAAGACAGTGTAGAGCTTTGCTTTTTCCTTCTTGCTGTCTAATTATCCATGCATGCTTCCCAGAACCTGCAGGGGTTTGGGATTGCAGAGCCTTTCTGTTTTGCTACTGGGTCTGTGACATGAATTGGTGGAGTTTACTTCCCTTTTTGGCTTTGTTGTTAAAGATGGGAATCAGATGCTATGCATATGATCCCATAGTTTTCCCAAACTATTCCAGAAGGTCCAGTCTCTTCTGCACTCTGTGCAATAAGTCTGTTCCTGTTGAGGATTTGTCAGAGGGAACAGATGTGACACAGTGAGGAAAAGACTGTATAGGTGATATGGCAAAGCATGGACTGGGTTGAATGTAGAAAGCAAAATTCAAGGCCGGAGAAATTAATCCCAATGCTTGTGGCCAAGATATGCTGACTTTTCAGGGGTCATCCATCTAGCTGAGGTGGGAAAATTGAGCTTGAGCTTTGCAGGATACAGCAAAATTAGGGATCCAAAAGCTGTGTAAAGTAAACTTGTTCCTCTGTGTGTAGCAGCATGAGATGAGGGGGATTCTGCAGATGACTGGACCCAAGTTGGCAGTTCTGTTGGATGCCTCCCCTGCTATATTACCCAAGGACTGTATGTCTGGTCCCGAGTTGTCCACATTGGAGGGGAAGGGGAGTAATGGGGCCTGGGTATCTGCAGCTGCAGGAAGAAGCTGGAATCCTCCTGACTGCTGCAAAGCACTTGTGTTCAGAGCAGGCCCTGACAGGTTGGGTTTGGAGGCACATGCGCCCTGTGCAGAATTGCTAACATTTCTCTGGAACTTCTGTAAAGCAGTCAGCGAATGAGCGGTGGAGCAGTGGGTTAATTTGATAGCAAATTGTTTTTGAATTATAGCAGTGCAACTCCATGACCTTCAAGGATGTTGCACTAAAGTAAATGAGAGATTGCAGTGTCTAGAGCTGGTACAGGTAGCTGCAGGGAGGATTCAGCAACCTTCGTTTTGCTGGTATTGTACCATGTCTCAGGTCCTCACTTCTGTTGTCTTGTTTTTTTTTGTTTGGCTAGTTTTGTTTTGTTTTTTGTTGTTGATGTTTTTCTTTGACACTCTGATTCTCCTAAGGTAACCCACAAAAAGAGATTTAGCTGTGAGTTCTTTTCACTTAGTCTTCTTCCTTTGTAAAGACCCACTAATTTTTTTTTTTTAAGTTTGCCCTGCGTGTTTACCCTTACAATTTAGGGAATGTCACATCTTATCATCTCTGTTGCTTGCTGAGATGCTCCTTGAAAGTCATCTATAGTCCATTTTCCTCCACACTTGCCTGACGTTAGAAGTGTTGTTTTCCCAGCTGGTTGTAGGATTTTAAAAATTGAACAACTCAAAAATGAGCATGAAAGAGTCCAACTAAAAGTCCCTTTCCTTTTAAGCTGTTCAGACTTCACCGTTTTGGAATCAATGTTTTCTAGCTTTCCTTAGAGACTTCTCTGAAAACCAGGTCAGACAAGAGACTTTAAGAGAGAAATGCTTCAATCTCAAGACTAAATTCTTCTCAGTCTTTTGTAACTGTCAGAAAGATGCAGATAAAGATCTTATATGTTAAAGGCAAGAGGATGTTGTTCTTGCAGTTGTTTCCTTGAACAAAAGTCAAAGTAGTGTGTAGGGATAAAAAAAAAGAGGGGGGGGAGAAAATAAAAAGAAAAGGCGGATGGTGGATGCTAACATGCAATCTTCTGTTACACAGAGGCTGTGAGTTTTTGTCACTTGTGTAGAAAGATGATGCCTTTCAACCCATCAAACTAGATGCTCTTAGTACCTTCTGCTGCTCTTCACTTCTCTCTGTCTAGCAGCTGCACCTTAAAGTGCGGATGAAACCCTCTCAGGAATGGCAGGTCCTAATCTCAGCAACTATTCCCATCCATTACAGGGTGCAAGCGCGATGATCTGTGAGTGGGTTTATCTCCGATCCCACATAGCGCTTTTCCTCATCAGCAGCAAGAAAGGGAAATTATCCGGCAGTGAGAAGATGTTTATTTTTAACTTGCTCTTTCTTTTTAAGTTATTTCATAATAGGAGGAGATAGAGGGTGCCAGCCAACGAAAATGCATAGATAAAGGCCTAAGCTCTTTACAGAGGCTGTGTTAAGGAGCAGTAACCCAGTACAGTTACCATGCGTTTTGCGCTTTCCCTGTTGTGGAGCATCGGACTGAGTCCTTTCTCTCTCTGCTTTAAGAGGAGATAGAGGAGCTGATTGAAAGGGTGCTACTGACAAGACTTGCTGCCTTCCATTCGCCACTGCTTGCCGTGCTCAGAGTGCCCCGCTGAGCGTCCGAGGAGACCTCTGCTCGGAGCGGGCAGGGGGAGTCCTGCTTCTTCACGAGGAACGTGCACGTCGTGTCCGGGCATGCCGACGGGGCGCCGTGCCCGGCCGCGGGGACACGGGCACGTGCAGGGTGTGAGAGGGGCGCAGGGAGGGCTCCTGCGGAGCGGCCCTGGCACTGGTGAAACGCCTCTGCTCTGTGCGGGACTGCAAGAGAAGCCAGTTCTGCTCCTCACCTGTCAAACAGGGTGTCTCCCCTGCATGCTATTAATCTTGCCCACTGTGCGTTCCTCAAAATAGCAAGAGGATAATGCTCTGACTGCTGCAAGCTGCTGGATGCTTCAGTGCCCAGAAGAAGGGGCATTATGCTATTACTCTCCATCCCTGCTGGATAGTTGCATGCGAGAGTGAATTATTCCTATTTGAGGCCTGTTTCATTCATCATTGCACTTGGCTCTGATGCTCTTCACAACCTCTCCTCCTAAGAACAAGAGGACATGACCAACTTTGCAGATGGGTGTTGTTGCAGGACTCCTTCTCGCTGCTAGCAGAGCTGACAAACAGAATTAGGAAATCCGTCTGTCTGGAGAGGAGGCTGCATGCTCTTGCAGCAGCAGGATTCTGATGGACTGTTCTCGAATAACCTTATAAGAAAAGAAATTCTTGTGTTTAAGAGAATTGTTTTGAGCATATGCTTCGTCCAGGAGTGCTGAGCTGTATGGTTCCTGGTAGGAAGATTATTGTTACTTGTCATCTCACAAATGCTTTGAGGAACAAATTTGTCCATGCAGTGCTTTGAAGCTAAAAGGTGATATGGGAGTCACCCTTGGTGTTTCCTGGTTAGGAGAATGAATCGTTCAAGAGAACGGAGAAGTGTAACTACAAATTTACAAGCACAGCCCTGGCTTGGGAGCAGGGTGATAGTCGTGTAAGCTAGAGTGCTTCAGTTGCAGTGAAGGCAGGTAATAAAATAATGCCTACTCAGCACCTGGATGTGATGTTCCACCCATTTCTAATACCAAAATTCATAACAGAATTGGTGTTCTCTTAGTGTCTATCAAAGTCTGTTCACCTCGGTAGAGAAGTGCAGTGCTCTGCGTGGAGGCTGCCCTGAGCAGCTGCAGAAGCTGGTGGCTCAGCAGATTGAGAATGGTGAATAGCAAGCCGGGAGGGAGGTGAGCTGGCAAAACTAGCACTGTGGGACCAAGGGGTCACAGACCTGTGTTTGTGTAGTACTTGTTCTGCTGCATTTGTGTGTATATATGGTAATTAGCTCCTTAATAAGATCATGTCTGCTTTTCCTAGTGACATGATAGTATTTGGAAATAAGCTGTCATGGTTATAGACTGATATTCTGTTCTTATGAATGGAAAAACACTATAAATTTGATGGCTGTTCCTTGCTGGCATTAGGAAGCTTTCTGGTGCCCACCTCCGTGTTGTTACTCATGTTCCAAATATTGGCCGTTAAAGCCATTATGTTGAAAAACAGGTGCCAGAGCTGAAATTTGTCTCAGTCTTACTCCTCCTGTGCCGAGACATCTGTGCATACTGACTCCTCCACTGTGTTTGGTTGTATTTGGCAGGTTTTGGAAGTGGTGCGATCCAACTATGACACACTGACCCTGAAGCTGCAGGATGGACTGGACCAGTACGAGCGCTACTCAGAACAGCATAAAGAGGCTGCCTTCTTCAAAGAGCTGGTGAGCTGCCTTGCTTCTGCAGAAATATCAACCCCTTTCCAAAGCTTTTTGCTTGTGGCCTGTGCAGTGGCATTTGGGCTGCTGAGCAGCCCTTTATGGAGCTGTCTGTGGAGATGGCACAGCAATAGGACCTGAAGAGACACTGAGTGTCACCAGGGCAGGAGCTTTCAGACCAGTTAAGTGCCTCGTAGTGGTAAGTTTGCAGGGTGCAATAGCCCGGCTGCTCCTGCTTTGGTTCCATCAAGGCTTCAGCCCTTACAGGGTGGGGTCACTAGTGAAAAAAGCAGAAGTGGCTCCTTCTGTTGGAGAAGTCTAATGATACAAAGCTCCACAGAAGTAAGAAGACTATGGCAGAACTGAATCCAAATAATTCGGATTGGCATTTGTATTCTTCAGCACAAGCCAACTTGCTCTCCCATCTCCAGAGGGCTGGGTCAAAATGATTTAGTCAAGGTATTTTCTTGCTCAGTGGCTGCCCTACCAGGGAGCCAATGTTTTTGTAGTGGCTGGTATCTCTGAGGGGAGTCTGTTTTCCTCATTTTTGAGTCATTATGCTTCAGAGAGGGGAGAGATCTCTCACTCTGGCAGCTTTCTCCACCAGTTTGAGAGCTGATTCTCTTTTCCAGCTCTGTCCTTGCTGATTGATGAGTAATTGATGCCTACCCACTCCATCACGAGCTTGCATGAGTTTGGGAATGTTATGCTTGCCTCTGTCTCTTCTGCTCCAGTACCAGCATGCTGGAATTACTTTTGCTGCTTTCTGCAGGATACCTTTTAGCCTTTCTATGATTTTTTTAAGGTTCTCACAGTACTGCCATTGTGCAGAGTATGGGCAGCTATGACTTGTGATCACTTTAATGCTAACTTTTGGTGCTCTTCTGTGCCTGTTCCTGTTTCTCTGGTTTGTTGTTTGATATCATATGTGGAATATGTTCAAAGAGCTTTGGCTATAGCCGCCATGTGACTTAGGCTTCTGCTATTACTGTACCCTAGAAAAAAAGGCACATTCATGTTTCTGTTCTGTCCCAAGGACTCCTGCTCCCCTCAGTCAGCTTCTCTTTCCCCTGCGTGCTCCTCTTGACCACGCAGATGCCTTGCTTTCTGTATGCCCGACAATCTACCTGTCCTGGCAAAAGCACAGATTGATCATTACAGTTGATTAAAGTGACATTTTCAGTCCTAAGAACCTTTGAGCTACAGAACACTTCAGCTATTTTTTTTCGTCTGATGTGTTTTGCAGTCCCTGTGATCCTTCCCAATTTTATATCATTTAAGAATCTGCTTAGCATAATCCAGTCAATGGCTCCACTCCCTTCTGAAAATTACCAGTCCAGGTGCCCCGGGACCTTCTCCTCAAGAGCATATGAAAGCTTGAATAATTACTGTCTAAATGTGCCGATTGACCCAGTTGTGAATCTGTTTAATCCACATTTCTCTAGATGCCCTGAGAATTGGGACCCTATTAAATGTTCTTTACTCACAGCTACAGAAAATCCTCTGCATTGCATTAAGCTATTCCCTCACAAAGAGAAATCAATGTGATGCAATATGATTTGTCTTCAGCAAACCCAGCTTGGTCCCCTGTCCTCCACGCTGTTTTTTTCTCTAGGTGCACAGAAACTGATGGCTTTATTAATTGTTCTAACAGCTCATCAAGGACTGCTGTTAAAATCCTGTAGTTTACGCTGCCTTTCCCATGTACTCTTCAAAATTTGCTTGCTTTTTTCCAGGCCTCTATATGGTCACTTCAGTCTTTTTTGCTGGTCTGATGTTGGGTAACATCCCCTGCCAGGGCATTGTGTTTTAGTGGTGAGAGTTGCAGGTTTGGCAGAGGGGGCAGTGTGAATTTACTGCGATTTTCACAGGCTCTGCTAGAGGAGCAGGGCAGGAGTGACCTGCAGGTTTCCGATGTGCTCTCCAAACTCATGCTCATGCCATCAGACCTCCTCAACAGGAGCTGTTTGCAAATACTCCTTCTAGTTTCTGCCTGGTTTACTTATCCCTCTCTCTATCTGTGAGACTGTATTAAAGCAAATTCTTCTCAGTGGGGAATGACATGCAGGAGCCATTTTCCTTTTTAGCCTTCTTTTCATCTCTCTATGCTCCCATTAAGTGGGTGAGCTGAAACTTCCCCAAGCCATTCTCTTGGTTCCTTTGTGTGCAGAAATCTTGTTCTCACTCCATTGACATGCCTTGCTAATGCACTGCTTTGCTTCTCTAGCTTTGCCTCTGTGCTGCTCTTTCTTGCAAATCCCAGAGAAAAATCTCCTTTCTTCTCCCATTGCCTTTTCAAACAAGTTTTCAAAGCCTTGCAATACTGCAGCCACATTGTGGTTGAAGGTGATATATAGAGAGTTTTATCAATTGGGTTTTCTAGCCTGTTGTGCTGCCTTTGAGGGGAATAAAGAAAGGAAGTTTGGAAGTTTCCTAACAATTTTTCTTTGAAACCTCGAGTATGTCATTTCAGGTCTGTGCTACTTTTCCTAGAGGGGCTGGTGTGGATGTGGGCTTTCAGAGCCTCACATTGCAGCTGAAGGGATGTGTAGAAAGATTCAGTATCTTTCCAGAGTGTCCACTGCTTTTACAGTTGGATAGATTTCAACAGTCTAGAAATAGTCTGATTAGGAATTGATTTCTGTAGAGGAAATTACACTAATTTGACTTTTAATTAGATATAGTAGTCAGTGTAAACCCTCCTGATCGTACATGTTCCTTAAGAGTGGCTTGTTGATTGGAAACCTTTTAACTGATGTGACTTACTCCAAAATAGGAATGCCCTTATGATGTTGCACAAGCCCAGCTGTAATGATGCTCAATATTAAATCAAGTTTTCCTCACATAGCTAATGCCCCAATTCATTCTTTCTCTCATTTAGTTGTTGTTCACTCTACAGGTGATGTCAGCATTTCATGAATTTTCCATTTCTTCAAAATCTGCAGCTTAAATGTGGTCTGAGTTGCCAATAGGGGGAAAAAAAATCTCAGAATTTTTTGGTCCCAGCATGCTCCTTACAGAAATGAGAGAGGACACAGTCTCTGCTTTCATTTCCTTGCAAAGTAAACGTTAAAGCTGTGAGCTTACTTTTTAAGGCTGGTTTTTGGCCCCTTACATAAGTGACTCCAAAGAGCTCTGGTAGCTCTCACGCTGGCAGCTCCCGCATGGTGAGGGAGGAGGACCTGGGGTGCAGCCTCACAGATGGATCCGCTCGGCCAGGCTGCAGGAAGCATCTGAAGCTTCTCCTTGTTATGGGCTGACACCCTCCTGTGTCACTGTCTTCTCTTCCAGCTCCAAAAAAGAGATGAGCCCCAGCTCCCTGTGCTGAGCCTTAGTGCTGAAGATAAAGTGATTTAACTCTAATTTGGGCTTTTCTGACCTTTTGAACTTGTTGGTTTAGAGCAGGGGAAACACTAGGAAGAGATTTATGGAAATGATATTTACATATAGGAGGGTGTTTGCTGTGTTCCTTCTAACCTTTCCTTTTGCAAACTAATCCAGCTGAATTTCTTAGGTTCTGCCCCTCACCTACAGTGTCCACGGAGCCTGCTGCTCTCATGGTGTGCTCCTTCAGCCTCCCCCTCTGGGCTTGTAGGGGGCTGGCACCTTGTCCTTCCTAGAGACTTCCAATGGGAATATGAATTGGCATCCCCTACTGCTGTTGCCTTGGCCCTGGCAGCAGTTCCTGAGGCCAGGACCTCAATTTTGATTTTTCTTCCTGCTGCTGGGACCCATGGGAGTGCTGCTGGTCAGCACAGGGGTACGAGCTCACACCCTGCTTGTGGCATCAGTCCCTTTTCTGCAGGCAGTCCTGCTTCCCAGGACACAGGGCTCTCCATGCCTGTTTAGCCTCGTGTTCTCCCCTTGTCAGGATGGGCTTGATCACCGAGGTGGGGACCGTCAGTGGGACTGGGCCCAAATCTTATCAGCAGGACTCCAGTCTCCTGGGAGAGGGGACAAGGCCCAGTGCAAACCACTTAAACACCCGCACTATAAGCACAAGCATTTGTGCCAGCTTGCTTGGGTTGTTAGGGTCTGCGTTGGCAGCAAGGCTCGCTGGGGCTCATTGCACAGCTTTCCCTTTTAACCTTCCATGTTTTGATTTGCTTCCCAGTGTCTTTTACCCGTCCTGCCCTTTGGGAGCTTTCTGCCCTCCCCCTTCTCTTCTTCACCAGGATGGCAAGTGGGACCCTCGACTGTATGAATGCTGCCCACTTGCTCTTCCAGCCCTAACTGTTCTAGTCCTCATTCTGTTTCTATGTAATTCATCCCGCAATGCTTTTAAAAGGCACGAAGCACTAACCAGGTCAGCAACATCCTTATTATCACAGGCTCTGAGTCTCTGGGAACTGTAATCCCATTGTTTGGATGAGCTTGTGTCAGTTTTGCTTTCTGTCACTGCCGCACAGTCGCTGACACAGATGATGTTTGACTTTGTTTTCTCGTTGCCGAGTGCAGCAGAGACTGAGCCCAGTCTGGGGCCGCGTGTTTGGCCCGTGCGCCCGCACGCGCGGAGGGGGAAGGGAGGCTGCCACACAACGATGCTGTCCCGCTCCTCCTTGCACTCAGCACAGGCGACCGTAAGCAGGGGCAGCATTGAAGGGGCAAGGAAACTCCCTTGGAAATACCTGGCGATGCAGTGTAAGGCCCAACCTGCACGCAGCAGACTCCAGCCCCGGCGAGGCAGCTGTGCGCATTCGCCACCAGCTCGGCCCGTAACCGCTGGTTAGAGCACGGTCGTGTGGCTCCTGTCCTGTGCCCGGCCCCAAGGGCCGGAGCGGCGCCCGGCGCGTCTGGCTTTGCAGCAGGGCAGCAACCGTGCCCTGCGTCCAGCCAGACAGCAGCGGAGCACGCCAAGGGCACTGCCAGAAAACGCTCTGCCCATCGCAGCCTAGAAGTGCTGCCTTCCCCCATGCCTGGCTGCAGGAAGCTCCTCAGGTCAAGCTAGCTCATGCATGGAGGCAGAGAACCCTCTCCAATCCTCCCTGCCTCCCTGGGAATTGGTTCTCTGATAGGACATCGCTGCGGACACTCTAGCACGCAGCTGGAGCATCCTTGGGGATGTCTCACTGAGCTGGAGCCTCAGTGAGAATTGGCTGCAGGGAGTTTTCTGGGGCTCTTCCAGCACACAAAACAGCTCCATGTTGAACGGGAAAGCTGACAGTGTCAAAGTTGCAGCACGCACCAGGAGCACAGAGAAGTTTCTTGGCTAAAATGTCTCGTTTTCTCTTCGCCAGGTTCGGTCCATCAGCATTAACGTGAGGAAGAACCTCGCGTTCAACACACTGAGCCAGGAGCTCCTGCTGCAAGAATTCTCCACCATCTCGTGAACCGGGGCACGGCCTCCGCGCAGGGCTGAGCAGACACGGGCCTGGCCGGCGGGGACACTGCACGTCTGCGGCCGGTGCGCCCTGCCTGCCGCCTGCATAAAGGGACTGCGTTTCTGTTGGGGGGGAAGCCTTGCTGCTGTGTGTTTGATCCCAAAGGAGTGTGTTCCAAGAGAAATGTGGCTCAGGAGAGGTGATTGCCGTGTGGAGGAGGAGGAGGAGGGAGCAATTTTGCAAGGTGCCATCGGGGTGGGCAGCTCTTCCTGGTGAGTAGCAATGGGAGATTCCCTCTGCAGCCTCAGGGAAGATGCACTGAAAACCTTTGTAGCAGAGCTGAGGAAAGCTCACAACCAAAACAATAAAGCCAGTCCATTGTGTGAGGCAATTCTGGGTTGAGATTGCTCGCCTGCTCTATGGGGTAGATCTCTGCACCCAGGTAAAGGCCATTTTTTTTAAGTCAGACTGGATCAATCCTTTGTCCAACATTTTGTAGGTCAAATCCACTGCCATCCTGCAACAGGTTTCAGTATCCTTGGGAATGGTATTGGGGTATAAAACAGGTTTCTTAAGGAGCAGGCCCTGCTTACTGTTGGACACTGGTGTCAGAAGGTTTAAACCAGCCCTCATTATTACTGGAGAAAAACTTTGTCTGCAAAATTGCTGGCTTATAGGGTTCTGCCTGAGATGATATGCAAGGATATGGGTCATCAGAGAACTTGGTAACTGAAACCATCTTTGTTTTGGGTCACTGTTGTTTCCAGTAGCTCATCTCATCTCTGCTGTTTCTAAGGTTGTTGGGATTTTTTTTAAGCTGTTGTATTTTCTTGGGGCAGGGGAGAGGCCAAATCCTTCCTCCTGTTCCCTACAGTGCCCATCAGAGACTGCATTGTGACAATCTTCCTCTTCCTCACAGCAATTCCTGCTTTGCACAGGTTTGTAGCTGTTGAGTGAACTTCATGAGCTAAGAAGTCCCCATTTCTTCCCTAGAGTGTAGCTTGTAGCTACTACAATTAAAATGTAGCTGGAGAAGTAGTTACTTAATTTTCTAGCTTGAACACCAGTCTTCGCAAAGCGACTTACAGCAACAGTGTGCTGAGACCCGACAAGAACTTCCTAGGGAAGAGCTCCAGGATGATGCTCTAAGAGCAGGGCCACAGGGAGCCCTTCCTGCTCAAGAGAGGTGCCCGGGTGAGACGGAGCCCGCTCAGGAATAGACCCGCTCTCTGTTCATGCACCCTCAGCTCCCAGCAGTGACAGTAAGACCTGCCCTGACTTACAGCTTGAACGGAGAAGTTATTTATATCCCAGATCCACCCTTTTTTTTTTCCTAGAAAAAAATGTTAAAAAGTGCCTAGTCCTGCTCTTAGCCTCCTAGGTTGGAGTAGTGTGAGTGGTGTGAACATCATGCTCATTCTCTGCCATTTTTTTGGCAAAGCTTATTTGGGCTAACACATGTTAATGAAATTAATGTTTCAGCTTTGCCTGCCGTAAGCATGAGATTTTGAATACTACATCCTTGGCCACCCACAGGCCACAAATCCAGACGAGGAGTGTGGGTTTTCCTTGGGGGTACCAGCTCTCCCAGCAGAGGATGCTTTTCCTCAGCTCTAAATTGTTTGGCTTTTATCAGCTGAAGCCAGGCGCCCGTGTTTGCTTTCCTGCTGGTGGTGCATCAGAGGGATGGCGTTTGGGAGGGCAAGCGGGCTCCATAAAATCCCTGTGCTTGTGAGCAGACCAGGGCATATAGAAGAGGCCCACTTCTCCGGGGGCAACTGAAGGTGATGGATGGACTAGAGCATCTCATCCCAGGAGAGGCTGAGAGCGCTGTGACTGTAGCTGTGAGAAGACAAGAGTTGGGAGGATCTGATCAACGTTTATAAATAACTCATGGGAGAGTGACGAGAGGGTGAAACAAGACCCTGCGCAGTGGTGCCCAGTGACTGGACGAGAGGCAAGAGGCACAGGTCAAAACGCAAGAAACTCCACTTGAATGTAAGAAAACACTTCCATACTCTGAGCGTGATTGGAGGCTGGAAAAGGTTGCAAAGAGGTTGTGGAGTCTCTATCCTTGGAGCTATTCGAAACCTGACTGGACCTGGCCTTGGAGGGCCTGCTCTAGCTGATCCTGCTTGGGCAGGAGGTTGGACCAGACGATCTCCAGACGTGTCCCAACTGGTCTGTGATTCTGATTCTGTAAATGAATGGTGCTGCTTTGCAGCTCATGGCACTGTTGTCTGCAGTGCCAAGGGGGAGCTCTTACTGTGCTGTCTCCTTCCTTTGGGGGGGTTTCCTTCCCAAGGGTGGCTTGAGTTGCCTCCTTTGATCCAGCGCTGGCACCACCACTGTGGGAGCATCAAATCAACTAAGTGTCCCTGTGCCTCCTTTTCCTTGATCCTGTTTAGGGCTGTGGACTGTGCCCGGGAGCAGCTCCTGCGGGTGGCCCTCAGCAAAGGCTGAGCTGGGGAAGCCTGTGACACATCCCCTTGTCACACTGTCACGGAACCGAGCGCTGTAAATGGATGTACATACAAACCTGGAGCTCAATAAATAGCAGAGCCCTGTCCCCTAGGCGTGTGCCGTGTCGGTTCTTGCAGGGGTGAGCAGGGCACTTTGGGGAGGCTCTGCAGGATCCTGGGGTGTCCTCCCCGCGCTGCCAGATGCTGAGCGTGTGGGTGAGGGCCATGTGCGGGGTGGCCCTGTCACCCGCTTGGTGGCACAGCAGCCCCAGCAGGGCTGCCGGAGTCACCAGGCTCCTCCTCGCCGATCCCGCTGCAGATTGGGGTGTTTAGTTCATCGCCACAACACCTGTCCTTGGGTTTGAGGCCAGCTTGAACAGCGCAGAAAGTCGTTTAACTCCAGTGTTCAGCCTCAATGTGACTTGTGGCTCTGAACTTTCCTGCATCTGATCTGAACAGTTGAGTAAATTTTATTATGCCTAATTCATAATCCAGTCTATTATTGGAAGAGCTGTTTTTAAGGCTTGGAGAATGTGGGGAGAAATCAGATTGCTGCCTTTAAATTAGGCAGCTGCTGCAGGGAGACAAATATTTTACAAAATAATGACCAAATTCTGTAGGAGAAAAATTGAGTTTGAGCTAAACTTTGGAAGGAGTTATTAAAAATTGATTTGTAAGTGCCAGTGTGGTTTTTGGTACCAGCTCTCCTTCCCCAGCTCTTACAGGTGCCATTTTTCATGCACCGGTGGGAGGCAGCTCACGTCCCGCACTGACCTCCCCGCGCCTCCCTGGCCCGCTTGGGGCCGGCTGGAGCTCTCCAAGCTCCTTCCCTAGCAAAGCGGGCCCCGGAGCTCTCTCCCAAGGGGCGCTCGGCCCTCCCGCGTGCCCCATTCACCTCCCCTGCTTCCCACCCGTGTGCAGTCGAGCCCGGAGAGCAGGGGAGCCCGCGTCCGTCCCCGCTGCCGCCCGGCGCAGCGTGGGCTCCGTCGTCCCTGCGATGTCGCGGCTGCTGTCCGGCGTCACGGGGCTGGTGTGGGGCCAGCAGCCTGCAGGTGAGATGCACAGCTGGCTCTTGGCCGTGGCAAGCAGCGCTCTGCCTCCTTGTCAGCGCTAATGCCTCTCCGTTATTTATTCTCATCCCTCCTCTGGACTCTGTTTCCCTGCTCAGTGCTTGGTGGGATGAGCAGGTGCTGCATGCTCTGTGCGCCGGACAGGGTCGTGCTGGGCAGAGTCTGTCTCTTTGGGCGTCATGGGGCTTAGGGCAGGCTCCAACCGGTGCCGTAACCTCCAAGGAAAGGGGCAAAGCTCAGCCTGGGGAGCTGCAGGCACAAAAGGATCGCAGAGAGGATCAACTTTTCCCCCAGGACTTGCCCTTTTCCTGAGGAGGGAGGGCAGACACAAGCCCAGGCGTTAGGCAGAGCCGGGCCCGCGGGCTGCAGAGGGGCTGCAGCGGGGAGCCAGCCGGCCGCGCTGGGC